AAAGAGCTTGTTGTTTCAATTTTACGTATGTGTATTGTAGATAATATACGTACCATGCAAAACTGAAGTTTTCTTGACATGAATGACGTCTCTTCTTTTAGATTTAATTTATTTTAATTTACTATTATTAATTGATTGAAATGTGACGTTTCATATCTCGATGAGATACTTCTTCAGACATTAAATTTAAGAAAAATGATGTACAATTATATAAAATAAGAGTACAAAAAATGTTTTCTTTTTTTTGTCTTTTCTTATGTGTATTAGTCATTCTTCGAGAGTGGTATGGAAAAGCATTTAATCCCTATCTAACTGACAAAGAAAAGAACATTGTTTGTTTATTGTTATTTGATTTATTTTTATATCATTTATCTTAAATTTAAAGTTTGAAGAAGTATCTCATCGAGATACAAAACGTTACATTTTAATCAATCAATAACGTCCGATCGAAAAGTTTTTGGACAAGATGTTTGTTCTCGTTTGACCCACTAGAAAGTATTTTCGACGAGTCAAAAGCTATGAGTTAGAACCAGAATTTTGTTCTCTTTTCGAATATGGGCTTAGAAATTTTGTCTGAGCTTTTGTTTGAGAGTAGTGAAATAATAGTTGAAAAGCCTAAAAAACTAGTTTGAACGAAAAATTTTTTCGCACACTTTGTATATTTACTATTACAATTCGAAACTAAAAGTTGAGATCTTTGTTTTATATATCACAAAATGACTGTAACTAGGAGTGGATCATTAACATTAATCTTAAATTAATGTTAGTATTTTTCATTAACATTAATATTAATGACTTAATATTAATGAATTAATGTTTAATGAGAACATTAATCATTACTATTAATGCATTAATGTTTAATGAGAACATTAATCATTACTATTAATGAATGAAGTTTTTAAAGGAAAACATTAACCCTTAATGTTAATGGTTAAGTGAAGTTATTAATTAATGTCAGTAATTAAGGCCCATTAAATAAAATGGTCCACCCCTAGTGTAAAGACTTTTGACACGCAGATTGTGCGTATTTGAAGTTGTTTTTATGACCTTTTTTTTCGATTAAATTTTTGCTCTTTATTCCCTAAAAGATATCTGCAGGTTTCATGTAAGCAAGCGTCTAAGCGAGTCTCCTTCAATAAACCGAAGCTTTTAGTTCTTTCCCAACAACAAGTGCACATTTCCACTATATTTTATGGATATTTTTGCAACATTTTCTTGAAAATCCCCATTTATATGCTCTAATTCGCCATACACCTCTCCCAATCTTCGAAACTTCGCGCGGCGACTGAATATGTGAAACATTGATTTATTGAAAAAGTCATTTCTACAATCAGAACAATGTCCTAAACTTGCAAAATACTTGCTTGAAGGCAAAAGATTAATAAATAACCAATAAAATATCCCATTGATACATAAGTTCTGCACCTTTTTTGTGTTTTAGACAAATTTAAGGCCTTCCATCTTATGATTGAAAAGTGATAGAAGTCTGAAACTTTTAGTGTAGTTAGGTGTCTTTGACTTCGAATTATACTAACATTTTCAGAGTTCCATCCCTTTTCAATCACGACGTGCAAGGCGTTAAATTTGCCGAAAATACAAAACAACCTACAGAACTTATGTACCAATCCGATAGTTGTTTTCGTCATATTTATTTTTTCATTTATCTTGCAGGAGAATCAGGGGCAAACATTTGATCGAAAAAAGATCGCAGAAACAATTTCAAATACACATAGGTGCACATAGAGCATTATGCTGATTCTAAAAATAATATTTGTTTGAAGTCAAACCAGGATTGTTCTGTTCGAAAAGCGTCGAATAGGCAACAAAAATGATAGAAATTGGGTTCTATGAGTAATATTTGAGCAAAAGTGCTTTACTAGACATCGATTTTCAAGTTTAAAACAGTTTTATTAGAAAGAACACATACAATTGCATATTTAATAGAAAAATCTTAATGATGCACTTGTATAAACTATAACTTCAAAAGACTAAACAAACAGTAGCTTTGACAATATGACCCAATCTGGGCGGTATTTGACATTTATTGTGTAGGAAAATGTTTGAATGTCTCCAAACTCTTTATAAATTTTGATAGAGAAAAGAATTTTCGTCGAGTAAGTCTATTTTTGTGAACCTAAACTGATATTTGATGGACGTCTGGATGAAAAACGTTTTTTAGCGCTTTCAAAAAGTGTTATAGACGTTTGTTATTATACAACTAATTTAAGAAAAAACTGTTAGATTTGTAATCAAACCACTGAGTCCTGCCAAGTTATAGGGACTTCTAATTGAACGGCGACAAAAATAATAGTTTTCGACGCCTGAGGAGACCCCAGACATTAAAAATGAATCATGAGAAAATATATAATAAACCTGTAAAAAATAATCAGGGATGACTGTTGATTCTTCGGATAATAAAATTAGATCGAGTTTCCTTTCTGGGACGCCAGATCCATTATTTGGTATCTCTCTTTAGGCCATAAAAATTTGAAGATATTTTTTCGTGAGATACCAATTAATGAAAAAAATGACGTATGTTAATTTTTTTTCTTAAAATTTATTTTCTTGATTGACTCATGAAGTCTGTCTTGAATAGTTACGATGGTTTCCATTGGAGAGGTCCTAAAAAATTATCGCGATTACTCTCAGCATTTCTTAAATTATCTTTTCTTCCATGAAAAAATCAAAAATAGAAAAAATATTTGCTTCATATCAATCATTAATCATTAATATTAATGATTAATGAAAAACATTAATTAATGTCATTAATTAAGTCCCGTTAAATTAAATGGTCCACCCCTAACTGTAGCTTCAATTGGGTAGAAGCTACAATTTAGTTCGATATCACATTTTGTAGAGAAGTTTTTACTCTACAAAATGACCGTCTCGGATAATTTTTAGCCTGTTCGAAAAGGGACTTACAGGGGTAAACAAAAGCGTGTTGATTCACTATTAAAAATTATTTTTCGGGCCTTTCAAAAAATTCCTCACTACTCTTGAATAAAAATAGATGCAACATTTCTAAGCCCATATTCGAAAAGAGAACAAAATTCTGGTTCTAACTCATAGCTTTCGACTCGTCGAAAATACTTTCTAGCGGATCAAAAGTGAACAAACATCTTGTCCAAAAAATTTTCGATTGGACGTTATTAGTAAATAAAACGAAATTAAAACTGAAAGAAAAGAATTAACTTCTGTCAAGAATCAACTCAACCTTCTTATTTCAACATATACTGAAGTTTTTGTCTCGGTATATGCCTAAGCGGCGGCAAATATAATTTGAAAACTTCCTGTGATTTTTTTTTACCAATCATGTTCTATGAAATTGATGATCATGGCAAAGCAACCCCTGTAGTAGTACTCTATACCATATAATTCTATCCTACGACATTACTTTAGATGAAGCGCAATCTCCACCAGATTAAAATGTGAAATACGATAAAGCCGCTTCAATTGTAGACAGGACAATCATCTAATCACATAGCTCCGGGCACTCCACACTCTTTTTAAACAAATTGCGATCGGTTAAAATATCAGTTATTTTGCAGTCTATGCTGATTGCTTTTTCGACATGTCTATCATCGTCTGTGAGGAGCAGGGAAGGGTCGAAAAATTTCTTGGCGTGTACTCAATATTCTTTTACAGTCGTGTTTCACAAAGCTACAAGCTAAATAAAATAATAGTCCGAAGATTGAGTTATTCTGTTCATCAAATTCATGGAAATTTTGATGAAAACTTGGAAAACTGCTGTACAATTCATTCAAATAAAACGGCTTTCTGTACGGCGATTGTGTATTTCCTTTTTATCAAAAACATCCACTTTTATATTTTGTGACAGAAGAAGGACTGAGTAACTTTGAGCACGACTAGGTGACGGATTACAGATCGCTTAACAAAGTTTTATTGGAGGCACGCTGGATCATTCGCTGCGAACAACCGACGAGCTTATGTAGCAACTTATACTCACTTCAACAAGATAGTAAGTTTATTTTTTCCATTTTTGGATTATTTCTAAGAGAAGATACATACACCCGTTGTTATCTTGTATTGTACTACTAGATAGGTAATTTTTTTTTCCATTTTTTCAAGATGAGTACGGCGTACGATGAATACTTAAACTATCATCACATCTATCCTTCTAAGGTAGATATTTTGTTGATAGTGTAACGTAGCATAGAGATGACTACGTTCTGAATGTAATTATGGTCTACTTGGCAATTACATTAATCTCAAATAGTATTCAATCGTTTCAGACAATAAAAGATAGAAATGTATGCCCGTCAACGATGCACAAAGATCTATTACCAATGAAGGTGATAAAAGTCAAATGAGGATATGAACAGGACCTTGTCTCATATTCGTGTTTTTCAAGTAATAATAATTTGTTCTTTTGAAACATTTTGTTTGATTAAAAAAAAAGACGTACCCTTCTATCATGATTATTTTATTGTACAACATGGTGTAAAAGCTTCTTCTTTCTATAAGTTAGATTTGAAAGAAAAGTGGAGAAAAGTAACACATCTACTTGCATGATTAAAAAGAAACGAGCATACGTGAATTAACATCAAACTATCAGTGGAAGGTGGTAAAGATACCGATCATAATGCTTGATGCTGATCACTCTTGCATTTTAAAATATTGATGGATTATTTTTCTCTGTATTATGTAACGGAGAAAGCTGTCTTGTTGTGGTTATCTCCTTTTTTAGTGTTTATTCAATTTTTTCTTCTTTCATATTCACAATTGTCTTGGATAAACGATCTCTCTCTCCTATCTATTTTGTAGATTGTATATGAACTTTGATTATGATCCTGCCATCAAATAACATTCTTGAACTTTTTTTCAAAGTAGCACATGCCTCTCCAAATCAAGTGGCGATCGAACTCGATGAACAGACATGGACATATGGCGAACTACTGATGAATGTGATACGTATCGCTCAGCATCTTCAAATCGAGATAGGTGAAATTGTCTATCAATATGTTGATCGTAGTTTAGAAATGGTATGTGGATTATTAGGAATCATGTGTGCTGGTGGTGCATATTGTCCTCTAAGTCCTATTGATCCATCTATGTGTGTTCGTGCATTGATTGATAAAACCAAAGGTCGATGTGTTCTTGTTCATGAAAATACATGTGATAAGTTCTCAAATACGATTAGTGAGCAAATTCAAATGATTAATCTTGAACATCTTTTACTAGCTGACATCACAGAAGAAGTTGCTGAAAAAAGTAATTATTTCTTTTCCGAAAGAAATTCATCTTCACATGTTTTATTCATTTTTCAGAGATATATGTAGAGAATGACAGTCCAAGTTTTATTATTTGTACATCTGGTACAACGGGTGAACAAAAAATAATTGTGCATACACACGCATCTCTTATAGCAGGTGTTCATCATTTGATGATTTGGAACACCAAACACGGTGATAAAGTTCTTCAAGTAGTTGCATCCTCGTGGGCCATTCATTTATTTGAAATTTTGATGCCATTGGTGATAGTTCCTTCAGGCACATTAGTGCTTTTGTCACCTGAAGATAATTGGAACATGACCCGTTTTTGCAAGATTATCGAAGAAAAACAAATTACTGTTCTCTTTATCAATCCATCATTGCTTAAAGTACTGCTTGACTACCTCGAGCTGAACAATAGAGAATGTAATCAAACACTTGAACGAGTACGCATCTTATGGATATCGGGCGAATCTCCTAAAGCACAACATCTAGCTAAAATCAAGTCATTTTCTTCACAAGTTCGCATCTTTTTAATATTCGGCATGAGTGAAACCAATGCTGCTATAGGGCGTGAAATCGAAGAAAGCATTGATGAACTTACAGATTTAAGTATCTTACCTATTGGTTGTTCACTAGCAGAATATCGATGTTTACTTGTGGATGAAAGCAACGATGAACAAGTCATTTCGCCATTAGATACAAACACAATTGGTCAAATTTATCTTGCAGGTATTATCTCTTCTATTCTAAAGATTATAAAATTTTATCATCCGTATATTTGCAGGTGCTGGTCTTTTCCAGTGTTATTATAACAATCCCGAGTTGACCAGTAGAACCCGGGTAATAATCAATAATGAAGAATTTTTCAAGACAGGTGATCTAGCTTGTTACAATGAAAAAAGTGAACTTGTGCATGTTGGACGTATCGAGTTTCAAATAAAGATTGATGATCAACGAATAGAAACAGCTGAAGTGGAAAGAACAATCATAGCTTGCTGTCCAAATGAGATCTCCAACTGTTTCGTGACCAAATTATCCCAAGATGAGGATTTACTCGTGGCCTATGTCATCAGTGATAATTCACAGCTTGACACTGAATCAATTCGAAATTATTGCAAAGATCATCTTCGTAAATACATGATTCCATCTTATTTTATTGTCCTCGACAAATTACCGTTGAATGCAAAAGGGAAAGTGGATAGAAAACAACTACCATTACCATCATTGCCCAGTAATGTTTCAATGCAATTTGTCAAACCCGACGAACTTTTACCATCAGTTGTCTCAGAGTTCGACGTTTGTCTTCCTGATAAAACACTTTCCAAAGGTAATCTTTCAAATGCATAATTAGAAATCGTCAGACTGACCTCTCAGTTGTTGTTTAACGAGCTAAAGTAATTTTTACTTCCGTCAAAAAAAAGAGTCTTTACCAACATACCGAAAATAATAGAACTGTTTAGTTTTAATCATTGTTAGAGTAACATTTCAATCACAAATAGATTCAGAAAAATTTTGTACGAGATGTTAGTTAGAGGAAAAGCCACATCCTTTGGATCTGTTTATATTGACTTCTTATTTACTAAGTGAGTTTCTCGTGGATTTTTAACTATCTAACAAATTTTCAGCGATTCAGAATCACATTGGTGCATGGAATAATAACTTCGAGATTAGATGAAACGCTTCCAACGTAAAAAAAATCTTACATCGACAAAAAAGGTCACACGTTTTCTTTCATCTAGTTGACCGTATGTTCTTATGTGTTCATAAACAACCACACTTCCAGCATGTTCTAAAAGTCCGAGCGAAAAGTCAACTCCTATAACTTCACTACTTATCAAACTTGAGCAAGTATTTTTTTTTATTCAAATGACAGATATCACTATGAATCTTGTATTTACACTAGCAAACTTCATGAGTAAAAACACTACGCAGCATTTCTCTTTGGATACTTTAAGTTCTTGCGTCTTTTGTGGCGTTTAGATCGGTGAAATCAGACGATAGCGCAAGCATAAAAAGAGAAATGCTGCATAGTATTTCTTTTTGAAATCGACAAAAAAGACTGATAGTTGTATTTCCATCGAAACTGATAGCTGCGTACAGTATTGATGAAGGTTGTCCATATAAATAATAGCTTTAGAAACTGATAATATGTGAAACAATCGATGATGACATAGATCTAGTTTGTTGACGTTTAATATAAACAACACTTTATTAATTCCTAGATGCTTCTCGATGTTGGTCATCGTTGCCTTCCATTCCATTTCGATCATTCAGTAACAGTCATTGCTCAATCATGGATAAACATCGTTTGACAACTGCAAGTAATACGATAAATAAAAACATGTTTTATACATCACTACCAACAATTGTTCATATCTCAAATGATGATTCACATATAAATGAAACTGATCGTTTTCTTAATGAACGTGATTTACCAGATTTATCTAATCTTGAAGAAAGAGATAAAAATAAATTACCATTTCCAGGTTTTATAGAAAAAACTTTCTATTGTCTTCGACAAAGAACACCACCACGTTATCAATGTTTAAAACTTATAACATGGTCATGGTTTGAACGTATAAGTATTTTTGTTATTTTGCTTAATTGTATTACACTTGGTATGTATCAACCATGTGCACATCATACTGCTATAGAATTATCGAAAAAATGTGATACACCACGTTGTATTTGGGTTCAAACAGCAGATCAATTTGTTTTTATATTTTTTACAATTGAAATGTGTATTAAAATGATAGCGATGGGAATATGTGGTAAAGGAACTTATCTTGCAGATTCATGGAATCGACTTGATTGTTTTATTGTTCTTACTGGGTATGATTATATCAACTTTTGTTTTGAACAAAAAGAAAAAAAAAAGCTAAAATTTTCTTTAAGAAATTTGATCTAAGATTTGATGAGTTTAACGATGAAAATTATTGGAAGTGAGACGAATATGTTTTTTATACAGAACTTGAAAAAAAGTTTCTTTTTATTTGAAGTCGTTTCAAAAGCTCTAAATACCTGAAGTTTTTCAACAATCATCAATAATACACACTATGAAAATTAATGCTATCAATGATTTCTTTTTTTTTTTTAATGTATATTTTGAATCTATAAGAGACAATAAAGTATAGAAATGAGAATAAGAAGTTATTAACTATTAATATTTAGATTCGTGGAATTATTGATGCCAGGTGATAATTTAAGTCTAACAGCTATTCGTACAGTTCGAGTACTTCGTCCATTACGTGTCATTAATCGTGTACCATCAATGCGTATTCTTATTATGCTTCTACTTGATACATTACCTATGCTTGGTAATTTACTTGTTCTCTGTTTTTTTATCTTCTTTATCTTTGGTATTATTGGTGTACAATTATGGAAAGGATTATTACGTAATCGTTGTTTTTTACAATTGAATACGACAATTATAGATAATTATGCAATATACGAGTATGTTTATCAAAAAAAAAAAAAACAAATCGGAAATATTTCATTGTTTATTTTCTTTTTTTCTTAAGTGATTTTCCTTTACAATCTTTTTATATTCCTTCTGATCAAGATTCATTTATTTGTTCTAATCCATCATCGAATGGAATGACAAAATGTTCAGAAATTCCACAATTTCATCGTGATAATATGACATGTGAACTTGATTTTTATTCATTGAATTTATCATTAACGAATAATGTAATAAATGGATGTATTAATTGGAATCAATATTATAAATTATGTGCTATTTCTGATCAAAATCCATTTTCTGGTTCGATTAGTTTCGATAATATTGGTTTAGCATGGTTGGCTATTTTTCAAGTTTGTTTCTTATTTATTCGTTAAATAATTACTAATTATATTTACTTCTTATTTTATTTATTAGATAATTAGTCTCGAAAGTTGGGTTACTATAATGTATTATATACAAGATGCTCATTCATTTTGGGATTGGATTTATTTTGTATGTCTTATTGTTATTGGTTCATTTATTATGATGAATCTTTGTCTTGTTGTTATTTCTGCACAATTTAGTATAACAAAAAAACGTGAAACACAACGAATGTTAACTGAACAAAAACGTTTTTCAGGTTCATTAAGTACAGTAACAAGTGATCGAGTAGGTTCTTGTTGGGAAGAAATAATTAAATATTTTCAACGATTATTAAGACGTGCATGTAAACGTTTCAGAATATTCATGAAAAATTATCGACAAAAACATGATAAGGTAAGTGTAACGAAAAAATTGCATAAAATTAATCAGAAGATCGTAATGTTAGTTTTCATCGCATAGATTCTAGTCAGTTGATTAAAGAACAATTAATCGAATTATATGAATGACAAGTCACTAGAGATTGCGAGTGGTACTTTTTCATATCCCATATTGTTGATGGGAACTTATCAGTTTCTCAACATTAACTAGAAGATGCCTTTCTCTTCTAATACCGTTGATTGACTATTATAATAGTAATCTGATCGATTAGAAACAGTTTCAAAAGTATTAATTAAAAGCTAAAAACGAACTGAAGTTTTCGAGTTTTGTTCTGTTTGGTTAGAACCTTTGAAAGAATGGTTCTGTTCGCTCTTGGCCTCTGCTATTTGATTGTCAAAAAGTAATCGAGTTCACTAGAGGATATCCTCTATTGAATGTTAAGTGCATTTAGAAAAATAGCATTATCAAAAAAATTTTGTTCAATTCTAAAAATCATTTAGCTTTGATTACTATTTGTATATATAGAAGAAATAAAATTAAATAATTGTTTTTATTTTTCAAAGGCTAATCAAAGACATCATCAAAAAGTAGCAGCAACAAAAAAATTATTAACATCAAATGCATTACCTTCATCCAATGTCAATATAGTTTCGTTAACTCCATTAATTAATCAAAAACATCGACCGAATTGTCGACATTATCAATCTCAATCATTATTAGTACCAATACCATTACCAATATCGATTGATCGTGACACTGACACATGTAATATTTCTCCAACGTCAATAAATAATAATTCACTTATTGAAAAAAATGAAAATCTTGAATTTGAACGGAACGAACAATTAATAGAAAGTAATGATATATGTGATTGTTATTATCAAGATGAAATTGTTAATACGTCCGATAATAATCAAACAGAAGAAGAAAAATTAAAATTTCATCAACGATGTAAAATCTGTTGTTGTTCACATTTTACAATGATACGAAAATTAATTTTACGTTTTGTTACTAGTAAATATTATGATCACATTATTCTCTTGGCAATTGTTACAAATACATTTACAATGGCTATTGAATATCATGGACAACCAAAATCCTTAACAAATATATTAGAATATAGCAATTATGTTTTTGTTGTTTTATTTACAATTGAAATGTTATTAAAAATAATTGCTGAAGGTTGTTTAAAATATATTAAAAATGCATTTAATATATTTGATGGTGGAATTGTTTTAATCGGTCTTATTGAATTATTTGGAGCAAAAAATAGTGGATTATCTGTTTTACGTACATTTAGATTATTACGTGTACTAAAACTTATTCGATTTATGCCAACATTAAGACGACAATTAGTAAGTTGAATTACAGTTTAACATTCAGGTAGATGTGAGTCTTCGCAAAATTCTCACCTACATACTACCATGAGGCGTATCTGAGATAGTAGCTATGTAATGAGTACTAATATGTGGATCATCAGTCACTGTATCTTTAAAAGTATCATTATTTTTTTGAATGATGGCGGTACTGAAAATCATTCGAATCCATCGAGCAACCGTAAACGGTCTCTGTTATGTCATTGTTTACAGCATTCTGTAAATGACCCCATAAAACATTCCATAATTCACGTACAACTTGTCGGAAATGAGTAGCTGTGAGTACACCATTGTATACTCGTTTACGGACCATTTTGTTCGACCTGGATAGCTTATGTTTAACAAAGATAACTTTTCATTAAATATCAACAAAATAAGGATTGAAAGACAAACAGAGGAAGTTTTCATAGTACATTTTGTCATCGCCGTATTTGATTAAGGATTTGGCTCTAAGTCGATAGCTGATGAAGTCTTCAATGATCAATTTGATAAGGTCGTTTGTCAATTTTAACAACAGCTAATCAGAAAAATTTTTACAATCAAAGTGAAAAAAGGTTTGAGCATACCCCTAAGAGATTAAAATGTGAAACACGATGAAATAGTGTATAAGAGTTCTTGTATGTGAGAAGTAGATGACTCAAATTCCTGGATATATACTTCAACAATTGTTTTTATATTTTGTCGTTTGTTATCTAGGTTGTCATGGCAAGAACATTGGACAGTGTTGCAGCATTTTTATTAGTATTAATGCTCTTCATATTCATTTT